TATATTTAATTAAAAAAATTCTAATAGTTAAGATAACTTATACTAAAGTAACTATGTTAATTATACTTGTACTGAAATATGAATTCCGGAAAGTGAAGTTTTAATGTCTTTTTATTAACTCAAAAATTTATCAACAATTTATTTTATAAATTAAAGAAATTTCAATGATGAATAATTGTTTATCCTAGATCTAAATAATTGCACAGAAGTGCAAATTCAATAAATATTTCTTAGAAGTTATAAATAAATATATATGTTTTTATTTATTTATATTCAAAAATTTATCAACAATTGATTTTATAAATTTCAATGATGAATAATGGTTTATATTAGAACTATGTAACTGCAAATAAGTAAAAAATCGAAAAATTATTGCTTGTAATTGAGATTTTATTTTTAACGCAGAAAAAGACTACGGTATTTTATGCTATATTTCATAAATATAAATTATTCAAATACTGTTTTGCTTATTTTGTCCCAAGCTAATACAACTAATAAAAAGAAGTATGAGAAACATATATAGTAAAAAATTCTGCTCTTAATGGTTAACACTGCTTCAATCGGAAGATAATATTTACACAAAGTTTTAAAATCAATTTATTTTACAAATTTTAAATTTTTCTTCGAATTTTAAATTATTATAATTAATTTAATTAAGCTTTCCTGATTATAGTTGAATCTTAAATATGTTGTCCACTATTAATAATTTTAATAATTAAGTAAGTATGAGTTTAATTTTATTCATTGGATTAAATTAATTCGAATGAAATTTGTCACATTTAAAACCTAATTCAAAAATGTGGTTAAATATGATGTTAGTATGAGTTTAAAAACATTAACTGCAATCCATAAAAACTTCAAAGATCTGTTGAAAATAGGATTAAGACACGACGGAATTAGTTTAAAAATAAAAATATCTATAAATAAAATAAATATTTATAAATAAATAATTATTGATATAATAAGAATATTTATATAATATTTATGTAATAAATATTATATAATATTCATATAATGACTTTAATGTCCTAAAAATATATTAATTACTTAATAATTTACTAGAAAAGATTTAGAGTTCAAAAATTAATTCTCTTTTGTGAGTTAATATCTAGCAACTATCTACCGGGGAAATTACAATAAGAACATTTTCTTTTATTGTTAGATAGCAGAAAAGTTAGAAACAGCGAACACATGGTTCTAAGCGAATTTCCGCAGAAAAGTTTAAAAGATCACGATGCATACGGTGGAAAGTCTTCGTATTATTCGTCACCAGCAAGAAAATCCCTTGCGATGGCTTCCAGTTCACAAAGAGGTAAATGATTGTAATTGTTTATATCGTAATAACACTTTTGATAAATTTCATGACTAATTATTTAATTTTTAAAAAATACAAATTTAAGACATTCAAACCTTAGATCTAAATTTATTTTTCTTAAAATATTTAGAAAATGTAGTTTTCGTCACTTTTTCTTTAATTGTGACCACTACCGACTGCAATTTAATATATTTTATCCAACTCAAATGTGTGCTAATTTATGTATGCTAAATAAAATGTATGCAATGCTCAAAATGAGTACCTTTTAGAAAAGGTTTTGCATTCATCTTTTAATTATAAAAGACTAAGATTCTACAAAATTAAAGAGGTTGAAATTCCAAATTTTGTATATATATATATATATATATATAAGGCGTATTGTCAATTTTTGTATTTNCTTTATTAACGACATTGTGAATTTGCTTGCAAGATTTTTCTCCGTATTTATAATAAAGCACTTCGATTTTGCATGATTTGGCTTTTTGCACAATGTTATATACATACATATATATGTATATATATAATATAATAATATAATGTATGTATAAATATAATTGCCTCAGGAGCTCTAAAGAGAGAGTTTCGTAAATATGATTTTATCAGCTAAAAATATCACAAAAAATCCAGAAAAACATATAAATAAATATAATAAAGCAAATAATTTAATAAAATATAAAAATATAATAAAATACATAATTTAATAAAATATAAAAATATAATAAAACAAATAAAATCATGCAAAGCGAGCAAGGAGCAAGATATTATGTACTTGAAAACAACTTACAAAAACAGTTTATAATTATTTTCGTAACTAACTTGCCGGTTTAAAAGAAATAGGAAATTAAAGTGAAAATAGGGAGATACATTTTTCATGCACGTTCATACTGAAGAGAACCGTATTTAATTTGTCCGTTACCATAGATTGGCCCGAAAGCTGGATTTACACAAAGTAATAATATATTATCATGTGTAACTCAAAATGTGCACTTCATAAATGTTCGAAATTTAAGTGCACCATTTAAATCAATGATTTTATGTAAACTATTAATATTAATTTAATAATACTAATCATTTAAGTAAATTTTGTAATATGGTATTGGTTAGTAATATAAGTTCAAATTATTAATAAAAATTCGCCGAACTAATTTTATTATTTGATTGCCAGGGATTTGTACGAATTGCATTTATAGAAGGCAAAAATATTATTCAGTGATCAAATTTTGTAATAGTATGTCGATTTGCTTTCATAAGTAAATAATACTGCAAATTCTCTTAATTTTATTTTTTAAATAAAAATAGTTTAAATAAATGCTTTTTGAAACATTAAAATTTCATTTATGTAAAAAAAAATTGATGTTTTCTTCTTTTTTAAACCAAAGGAATTAAAATTAATAATATCGTAATGATTATGAAGCATTATTAATTTGTCGAGGAATTTAAATATTAATTCCCTTTTTTGGTGCTCCTAACATATTTGTATAAATATATTTTGCTTTAGCTACATTAATGCAATATTTAAAATTGCTATTTTTGTGGATATAATCATCTGAGTAAATTACGAGGGTATATTTTGTTTTCTATTTTCGAATTGTTCTTTTTTTTATTTTTAATAAGCACCTCTCAAATAAATTGCATACTACTAAATACTCTTTCTTTTTTTTTCTATGCTTTTTATCTTGAATTATAGATTCAATATACTTGCAGTTTATGTAACGCAATTAAAACGTAATAAATCTTAAAACTTCTCTGAAATGCTTGAAATGAAATCCTTTCATTATTTATTGTCTCTTTTAAAATACAAACATAATAATAAAAGAGAAAAAAATGAAAAAAGTAAAATTTTAAAATAAATTAAAAAGGTTATTGTTGAATGAGTTAAACTAAAAAAAAATCAATTTCTAAAAGATATAACATCATTTTTACAACCTAACAGTTCTATTCAAAAAAATTTGCTCTTTTTGATATAATAGTAATGTCGCCCAAGCTTACATCTATACAATAATCTAAAGTGAAAAATTTAGAAATATTATCACCGCTGCATAAGTCAACCTCTGATTTCTTATAATTGATTACGAGATCGAAAATTACTAGTATATGAGGTGTATAAGTCGACCAGAGAAGAAATGAATAACAAAAATTTATATTTTATTGTAAAACTGTGGAATTTCGAATTCTGTTGGATGGTTGAAGAAGATTTTTCCATTGATTCTGCTAATGGAGTAAAGTCCCTTGAACAGTGGGATCAGTATGACCACAGTGTTAACGTTGTTGAATCAAAAAACAGATAATGTTTTTGAACTCTTAAATTTATAGCTTTATAGAAAATTGTTTTATTTCTTTCTTTTAAATTCCATTGAGTTATACTTCTTCAAATATTATTGGATAAGTTATTTTTACTTCCTTTATTCTTATATTTTGAACGCAATTTAAAGTATTCTTTAGAGTAAAAAAATAATTGAAATTGTGACGAAAATTAGATAGGAGAAACTATATATATTTATAGTAATTAAGTATAGAGCAACGTTAGTTTTTATGTATTATTTTAAAACATTTTTGACATATTTAATACGTTTTACGTTTCTAGAAAATATTTAGGAAAAATATACATATTGCATGGATATACAATTAAAGAATTTTCTTTAATCATAGTCTAAAATCGTCATTCCTACCGGAAGACTTACGAATATTTCATCTATGATTCTTCTTAAAGTTATTAGTATAAGGATTGCACTAAAAAGTTATGCTACTTAAATGAACATCTTCTATAATCATTCGTCACGATATATCATGAAGAATTAGGGAATTAGAGAGATTCTAAGCTATGTACTTGAGATCAAAGTAGAGAAGAAAAAAACAGAAAACCGAGAAAGATCGCATTTACTGTAAATAGTTTCTATCTCATTAAGGTTTTAATAAAAACTGTATGGCTAAAACCAAGACCTGTAAGTATTAATGTTTCCTCTTCATCTGTAAGATATGACAAGCTTAATTAATATCTCATTATCTCTCTTGCATAATTTTAATCTTCGTTCCATGGTAAATTAGAATGTAACGACGTATCGCATTATCGCAAGTAAATAAATGAAAAATGACGTTTTGCTAAAATTCGTAATCTTTAAAAGTGTTGAAACGTTTTATTTTTCATGCTTAATAAACTTACTGGAAGCCAATCGAGATAAGCTGGGATGCACTTTTCGAATTTATTTATTTACAATACAATAATGTTACAATAATTAAGACTTTGCAATACGAATATGCAAGACTTCGTATGATGTGTCGAGGCATTTTTATTTAAATAGTATCCTTATTAAATGGTATAAATTTTTATACACCCTTATTCGGAAATGCTTAAGTAGAAATGACGGGAAAAAGTGAAAGCGGATACTAATTTACCATCTTAAATAAAGTGTAAAAGACAATATCTCGTGAAATAATAAATGGAAAAAAAGGAAAAAATCCGTATATTTTTGAAATAAAAAAAACTGCGAAGTATTAAAACTTACCAATATATCTTTAATATAACTAATGTTTCATTACAAGTTAATTATTTTAACTTAAATGAAATATCTTATTTATTTTTCACAATGGATTAGAACAATGTAAATAAATATCCAATGGTGTTATGAGTTCAAGGGAATAAGTCCTAGAATGTGCAGAGACAACAGAAAATTGTTTGCAAAATAATTAAATTTGTTCCTTGTTTTTTAGTGGATTGAATCAATTTTACCCTAAAGATTGTCTTTTATCTATAAATTTTATTGTTTTCAAAATAAGTCTTAACATATTCTTTTAATGATATTATCAGCTATAATATCCAACCTAATGGAGATACCTATCTTTTCCTTTTGTATTTTCTTAAAAACTGAAGATGTTAAACAATACGCCAATGCTTTCAGATAAACTGCACCTATTAAGTTTGAATTTCGTGATATGTAGTTCATCACAGCTCTAAGAACATCCTTTTAGTTTTCTATATTATAAAAAGAGACAATAATCAAATTATTTGCATTATTGCATTTTTTATTCTTCTTTTAATGTGTCCTTTAATTTTGCATAAATAATACTAAATAAAAAACAATTGAATTCCGTAAGAAAATTTAAATAATAATTAATCATCCTACTTCACAGTATAAAAAGTTTAAAAAGTGGACTAAAGTGGACATGGAGTTCAAATGGACATCTTCAGTAAATTGATTAAAATGATGATTTCCCTGTAATTATTACTGAAAAAAATACGGTATATCAGATTATTTGTTCATTTACATGTTCCTTTAAAAGTGGATTTTACGGTAAAAAAATACCGGCACTTAGTGCAAAGCATAATAACTTTATAAATAATGTATTATTATAGGGAAATATTCTACATGAATTTAGAAAAAGCAAATGTTTCTGAAAATATCAATTATAATGCATTTCTTTTATTTCAAACGTCATAGAAAAATGACAAATTCTTGCAAAATAGCAAAGGACATGAAATATAAAAAGAAATACAGAAAGAGAATAAATAAGTCAATGTCAATAATTATAATACATGCATATGTAGCTATAATACTTGCATATTTAGTAATGATATTTGTATATGGATAGAACTTTTGTTACTAACACTACCTGAAAATACATTTGTAGGTGACAATTGTCCTAAATTTTAAAGCTCAAATAAAACATCAAGAACTAATGTAAATTCAAAAACATTTTTCTGTAATTAAAAGATTTTAAGCTAATGTAAATTATAATAAATAGTAGTTACTGTTTAAAACTAATCAAACAAAGCTCTCTTGAGCATCCGAAAGAAACAAGAAATTATAACAATTCGACTAGATTGTTTTGAAGGAATTTCATGGAATTGTTTTCCCCTTTAACAATAGTACAATTGATCTACAGAAATTTCATTTTCACACTTAGTCAAACAATAAGTTCTCTCTTTAGAAAATGGTTTCACCATATCCAGATGGTTTTAATGCTCTCTATTCCCACATAGGGAAGGATTTACCAATACC